AACTACAAATACACTCATTACTGCTGTTTACAGCCGGCACTCAGACCAGCGAGCGCAGCTCAGCTGACACCCACCGCCGTACAGGGCAGGGGGGGGGGGGGGGGCCCCCCCCCCCCCCCCCCCCCCCGCCCCGGGCCACGCCCTCACCGGTTGCTGTTTCTGGATACATCAGTTCCTCAAAGATCCTGGCTCCTGATTCAAGTCAGCTCCCCGCCCAGTCCAGCGCCCCCCACCCCCAGGAGACACACCTCCTCCAACGGGTTTCCCAGGAGGAAGCTACCAAGCCCCCTTGGAGCAGGACCAACGTGTCGGCCCACCTCCCAAACCAACTGGGTCCAGAATTCCAGGCACAGGCTCTGGGCACTGTCCAGCCCCTCCCACAGGTCCCATGCTGTTGTCTGCCAACTCCGTTCCACCCCTTGGGGAACGCTGCTGGGTGAGACCAAAGCCCTGCCCTCCAGACACAAGCTGGACAGGGCCCAGCTGGGCTGCCCCTACTGCCTGGAAGGTCACGCACATTCATGGCCACCAAACTGGCACAACCCTCCTGGCACCTCCGGCCGGGGTTCCCTTTGCAAGGGAGGCGGGCACCCAGGCCGAGGCTGGCACCGGCCAGCTCCGGCACCTGGCCAGACCAGTGACCGCCACGACAGCGCCGACCTCACCAGCCTCACAGGCCACCTGCCGGGCACTGTCCACGGAGCTGCCCCGGCCGCCCCCCCCGCCCCACCGGGACGCACTGGGACCTCTGAGGAGACTGTCATAGAGACTCCCCTTCCAGCCATGAGTCCCTGGCTCAGGACTCGGCCTCCCACCCGCCCCACATGGCCCCCCTCACTGCTCCTCTCCCTGCTGTTCACAGCCTTGCTCCCCTGGGGGAAGCAGTTATTGAAAATGGTCCATCAGATTCAATAAGTATTCAAAGTCCCTCAGAGGATAGAAGGTGGGTGGGGAGTGGGAGTGGGAGGAGAGGAGGGGTGCAAGAGGGAAGGAACCACCCACTCCTCCCCTGCCTTTCCCTCAAGGCCTTCTGCGACAGCTGGGCTGGTGGGGGGTGAGAGGGGAGAGTCCTTCGCTGTTAGGCTATGTTGCCTTCAATGCCCCTTGGGTTCTAAGCTTGAGGCGAGCCAAGGGCCCAGCTGCCCAGGGCCTGACACCCACCTGTTCCCTTGCCTTCCAGCTGTCCCTTACCTGTCACCTGCTGGCCTACATGTTCCCACCCCAATCCCACCAGCTCTAGCCTCTCTTCCCCCACCAGGAGGAGCTTCGAGACTATCTCCCTCCTCATTGTCCCCCAGTTCTCAAGCACCCAGCTGGCTGGTCACTGCTCTCACAAAGCCACCGAAGAACATGACCCAAGGCCTCGGAGGGTCGTGTCTCCACAGGAGCACGTAGCATGGGGCCAAACCCACAGAAGCCCTCCCTCCTGCCCAGGAGTTCAGACACCGCCCCCCCACCCAACCCCGTCCTGTCCACGGCCTGTTGGAAGATAGCTGGCTCTTTAGCCCTAGACTGGGACCAAAGCCCGAGATGCAAGCCAGGGAGGTCTGGGCCTTTGCAGATGGGGTGAGGGGGTAGAGAAGTGGGTGGAGGGGTAGATGGGGTAGGGGGAGAGTTTGACAGTGGATCAACCGGTCAGCCAGTCAGGCCTCATGGACCTTCTCACACCTCAGTCCTTGTCCCTAATCCTGTTGGCCCTTTCAGCCATACCCCGTCACTCCTGCCCTACACATCACCCAACGGCCTCTGTCCTTAACTTGTGCTCAGCAGGTGGAGGGTGAGCCTGGACAATCTCATGGATCCTTCTGCCTTGAGATAGGAGACCCACTGTGCCAAGGCCCCCTGCCCCATGCAGCGTGTCCCCTGTGCTCCCTGACAATGACCTTTCTGGCAGAGTTGCTATAGGGGGCAGAGCCCACTAACAGGTGGGACAGACAAGACTTCCAGCCATACTACCCCAGGGACAAGCTCACAGAGGGCTGGGGGCAGGCAGGCAGCCTCAGGACCTGACCTCTCTCCCAGGACTGCTGCGCTGGCCCCGACTTTCCCTCTCTGGCCTCGCTCGCTCACTCACTGCAAGGTCACCTCTCCCTCCCTTCCTCCCTCCCTGAAGCTGTCTTGCCCGCCCACTGCAATGCTGACCCCTGCAGGCCTGCTGAGGCCCTGCCTGGCCCCGGGCCTGGGTCCAAGGGACACAGGGAGGCCTGGCCAGGCCAGCTCCAGGATGAGCATAGGAGGAGGGTTGAGGACAGAGAGAGGGCCGCCTGCCTCAGGGAGGGGACAGAGAGGAAGTTGCAGGCACCACTGGGTAGGCTGGACAGAGTATGGAGTAGAAGCCAATGGGGGTGTGTGGGAGGGGGGCTGGTCTTCGTTCTTCACTGGGCTCTGGCTTTTTCCCACAGTCCCTTGCTTCAGCTGAGCTAGATCCCAGAAGTGCCTCAGAGCCCTGGGCCCAAGTGGGTAGGGAACAGTGGACAGGGTCTTAGCATCAGGCTGAACCCTGTGGAGACCAGGGTGAGTGCGCTGAGGGAAAGGGTACCTCGGGGATACTCTGGAACCAGCCTGGAACACGGAAGAGCAGGAGAACACGAGAGAGGGAAAATTGCAAAAAGGACTGGGCCACAGGTGTTCCTGGGAATGGGATGAGGGAATCGGGACAGATAAGGTACTGGTGGTGGTGGGGGGGGACCAGAAGGAGGGGCCTGAATCACACAGGAATTAATTTGCATATCTTGCCCCTACCAGGTGCCAGGCAAAGGGGACGTAGGGGACAGAAATGGGGGACACACAGCCCGCCTGGGGGAGCAGAGTCTAGGGGGCCTGAGGGGAGCCGGGGTCGGAGGGAATGCGTAGTCTGGCCTGGAGCTGTAGGGATTCTAGGAGGTGGGCGGGGATGCAGGGAGGCTGGGGTACAGAGGTCAGATTGATGAGGACTCTGGCCCCTCAGAGAGAACCCAGGATCAAAAGCAGATTCTGCCCTCTCCAGCCTGTTTCCGACACCATCCAGTCCAGTGGGAAGTGAACCCCAGGCCCTGCCTGTTCCCGGTGGATCAGTGCTTCCCCTTCCCCTGGCACTGGTGGGCCCTGCACCGAAACTGGGCAAGAAAGGTCTCCACCACAGAGGGAGGCCTGTTTGGGGGGCGGGGAGAGAGGGAGACACCCCAGGGGCTGCCACGAAGCCAGGGGCAACACTGGGTTGCAGGCCCTTTGCCCAGAAGACGCCAAGCATGTCAAGTTGGCCTCCATGCAGAGGGCAGAGGTGCTCGGAGGATCAGTGATGTCATGGTGCCCAGGCGTGGGAGGAAAGAGGGGGGAGGGAGAAGGGATGAGGGCATGCACTCAGGCCACCCGGCTAACAGGAGAGGGGAGGCTGCCAGCCTGGCAGGGCAGGGGGAAAGGGAGTGTCCTCACTGCACCTCCCCTTCTACCTCATACCCTAGAGCTGGCCTCTGAACTAAGCGGTTGGTTTCTGGGGGGGTGATCCCAGCCAGAGACTGCCTGAGCCCTCGGTCCAGGTGCTGGGAGCTGGCAGCCTCGTGGAGGAAGAGGCAGGGTCAGCGACCTGGGTTCAGAGAGATGAAGGGAGGGGTGTCCAAAGGCAATGTTCCTTCAGCCATCACCAGGAGGACATTCATGGATGGGCAGGAGGTTCCGGAGAGGGAGATGGAGTCTCTCTCCCTCTTAACCCCAAGCGCTGAGTGCCTGGCACCCAGTAGGTCCTCCTCAGTGGACTTAGTAGGCTGCGACAATTTGATGCGGGTGGGGGCCCGACTCCCCAGGAGGCAGGGACGGGCTGAGGCTGTCCCTAGAGGGAGAATAAATGTGGGGCTGGGACAAGAGTGGACAAAGCTGGTGTCCATGGGACTGCCCTCAAAATCCTTGGGGCTCAAGGTCCCTTCTACGGAGAGCCTTAGGGCGGCCCCCTCCCCCAGCACCCCAGCCCAGGGAGGCCAGCAGTGGTAAGCCTGGAGGCTCAGCAAGTCCTCAGGCTGGGGCGCCTTGCTTCTAGCATCACAGAGAAACCCAGAAGCAGAGACCCCGCTGCCAGAACTGGCAGACTGGGGGGTGCTGGGTCTGGGGTGGGGCACCCCAGGTGGGCGCTGAGACAGCTGGGGCAGGAGCTGCAGGGGACCTGCCTACAGGTGGGCACCGTGTGAGGAGGCGTCAGGAGCCAAGGAGGAAATGGCAGAGCAATTTCCCGAGGAAGGAGGAAAGACTCCTTGGCTGGGCTTGAAGGATGGCAAGCAGACGTGGGTTCCTGGGCCACTCCCCGGCTCCTTCAGGAGAGATGCAAAGGAGCCCGCCCCTCCCCCTCCTTCCCCCGACAGGACTGGAGTGAGTTTGGGGATCTTCGCTTTCCCCCTCCCCAAACCCAGGATCACATTCCCCTGGCACCCCATTCTCCCCAATCTCTGCTCTCTTTCCCTTCAGGTACTCCTGTCTTCCTCGTCAACGCTCCTGCGGTTCCCCTCCCTCCTTCTCCGAAGCCCCCCTCCCCTGCTACTGCACCAGATTCCCACTTGCCCCTTGGCACCCTCTCAATTCACAGTTGGCACCGCCGATGTCACTCTGCTCCCCGGTGCCCACAACCTTGGCCCAAAGCTGCCTGGGATCCTTGCCCTGGGGTCCCCCAGCGCTGGCACCCGGGGGTGCCTCTGAGGGCACTGCCCGGTTCCCGCGGGGGCAGTGGCTCCTCGCTCCGCCACACACGTCCTTGGGCTGCTGGGGGGTGGTGGGGGGAGGAGATCCTTGTGGGGACACTGCGAAGCCGGCGCCGGGCATCAAGCCTGGCAGCGCCGGGACTGCGGGGCCCGGCGTCCGAGTAGCTGCCGCTCAAGCCCGCGCCCCTGGGGCTGGGATGACCCCGGGGGGATGGGGGGGAGGTCTGTGCGGCTCGGGCCGACAGCCGCCCCGGGCTGGGGCTCCGAGACGGCGCCCGGCGCTGCCGCCGTCCTGCCTGCCGGTGCGGGGCGCCCCAGCCCGCGCGGGGCCGCGCTTACCTGGGCTGGCCGCCTCCGGGTCCCGGTACATGGTCCCCTCGTCGCCGGCTTCCTCCGGGCTCCTCAGAGCCGCCCGCGGCCGCGCGCTGCTCCGCCGCCGCTGCAGGGCATGGGGCCGGGCGACCCCCGGGGGCGGGTCCGAGGGCGGGGGCCGCGCGGGCTGCACCGAGCCGCGGAGCCGGGGAGCGGGGGCCGCCCGCCAGCCCTCCCGCCCGCCGGCCGAGCACGCTGCCGCCGCCGCCGCCGCCGCCGAGCCTCCTCCCTCTGGCCTGCGCGCCGCGTGTGCGCGCCGGAGCGTGTGTGAGTGTGTACGAGGCCGTGTGTATGTGTGTGTGTGTGAGCGCGTGTGTGAGCGCGCCCGGGGCACCGCCGGCGCCGCCCGCCCGCTGCCGAGCGCCGCTGCCACCGCCACCGCGGCCTCCCGCGCCCGCTGCTGCCCGCTGCCGGCCGCGCGCCGCACTGCAGCCCCGCGCCCGCCGCCGCCCGGAGCCGCCCCGAGGGCACCAAGCCGCCCAGCGCGCTCCTCCCGCAGCCCCCGCGGGGAGGGCACGGAGCCCTCGGGTGGGCCCTGCGAGCTTGCGGGTCCCGCCGCACTGCTTGACCAGCCCGACCGGGACGCTCCTGATGGCAGCGGCTTCGAACCGCGCGGGGCGGGGCGGCTGCCCACCTCCTCCCAGGTGCCCTTTGACTCCATTCCAAGAGGCGTGTAAAACCACTCCGGGTTTTCCGTTTGGTGGCGGCTCGAGGGCGTCAGCTCGGGACTCAACACAGTGCCGGTCCCGGGAAGTCGGGCTGGTGTGTGCAAAAACCAGGAATGGATTTTTTTGCCAGGGCTGAGCCTGGGTCCGCCACTCTGGCCGTCCCCCCGAATTTGAAAACAGCCCGAGCAGAAAGGACCAGGATCGCCACCCTCAGTGGAGGACGAGGCCTAGAGACCCTTCCCACTTAAGCCATCCGCAAAGCCAGCTCCTCCACTTCACCCCCTTCCCTTTCCCTGACCCAGCACTTCAGTGGGTAAGAAAGAAATCCCTCCTTCGTCCAACCCTGGGGCTCTTTTGGCTCTCTCGGCTCTCTCAGCTCCTTTGTCAGGTCCGCACAGCCCAACTCAGGTGAATCCTAGAATTCGAAGTGTTTGATTCTGGGGCAGGGAGAAGGGGCCCTTCTCCCCCAAATTTGCAAAGCCTGGAAGTAAACGAATTATTGGTGGTTTCAGGTACGGAGCCCTCCCAGCACACCTACATACCTAATCAGCTACACCACAACCCCCACCACCACCACCACACAGACACTAGCACACAAACAGGAGAGATATGCACACCGGAACGCTGCTCCTCAAAGGGGCAGGCAGGAGGGCAACACCCCTAGCCCCGCTGCAGCATCCTATCTGCCCCTCCACTGAGAATGAAGTTAGTAGGTGAGCCAGGGTTTATAAAATCAAGGATTCCTTATCCCACCCGGAGAAATCCACTTAACTGACTGTATGCACAGCTCACACCCAACCACACCTCCACCTTCTCCCAACACAGGAGGCAGCCAGCACCCAAAGGGACAAGCCTCCGTCTCCAGTCTCCCCCGATACTCACTCACTCACATACATACACACACCCCATACCGTTGAACTTGCACGGAGCCTATTACATATACACACTCGTGCGCAGGCACACACTTACCTCCACCCACAGCTTTTCAGTTGAGAAACAGATAAGGAAATTCCCCCAAGCAAACCTCCATGAAGAGTGTTCGGGTGGAGAACAGATTTCCTTGGATTGAATGTTCTAATTAAAAATGGAAGAAGAAAAAAAGGCAGCTGTAGATTCCAGCCCGTAATTAGTCCCCGGCCAGAAATCTCAGCCCTCATCCCTTGGTCAAGGGCCATTAAGTTTCGTATACCCTGCAGCCATCCCCACCCATATGCAGCCAAGAACTCAGGATAAATCCACAAACCTCTTCTTGGCAAACCCTAGGATGCCAAGCCAAAAGGTTGGGACTCTGGGGTCTCTGATCTTGACTTGTTTCTGCTCCCACCACCAGCTCCCCCTCTCAGTGCCCAGCTAGTAAAGACCAAATAGTTATGTCATCCCTACCTCGTGCCATCAACGGGCTCCACACAGAAAGGTTCCCTGCTCAGAAATCTCTCCATCTATCAATGTGAGGGTCCAGAGGGGGACAGCAGAATTCATCATGGCAACTCAACAGATCTTTATAAGCATTTAGAATCTTGGAGCTTTTCAGAGTTGGCGGGGAGACGACCTCTGACAGGCCACCACTTGGATGACAGATGGTGAAGACAAGGCGTCTATAGGGAGAAAGAACAGGCCAGGGAGCTCAAGGCCCACAGCTAGCAACACAGATTGCTGGTAAGAGAATCGAGGGGAGACCCTTGGTCCTGTCTCCAGCCTTTTGCCGACCACTAGGAGGTTCATGAGCAGACCCGGTGCCCGCCCCCATCTGAGAGCTTACAGCCTATCCCTTTCAAATATAAAATCCCAAACTTGCTCACTCCCAGGAGGCAGTAGACAGCCACTCTTCCAGAACGTCAGAGATGGACAGTCCCTCAGACATACTAGATAAATCCCATGAGATGGCACTGTAGAGACGGAGTCTCTGAGGCATTGGGAACCTCATTGGGTTTTAATTCCTGCTTGCATCATGGACACGGGAAAAGCTCTGAAGACACCCTTTCTCTGGGCCTCATTCACTTTGTCTAGGGGATGCAGAATCACTGGGGAGAGAAAAGAATACAGGTTTACACGGCCCAGCCATTCATAGCCGTGTGACCCCAAGCGGGCCGCTTACTCGACACCCCTGGGCCTCAATTCTTGTCTACACCTTAGAGAAAAAAATACCACCTGTTGGACTATAATAAAGAGTAAACAAGATGGTACCAGTAAGGCACTTCACGTGATAGTTGGAACGGGGAACTTATTCCTGATGGATCTCAAACATACTCCTCATTACCATGTTTTGCCTCTCAAGGAAGTCCTTCTAGATGTCTGACCTCAGACCATTTGAAGGCTGCACTCTCCTGCTAGAGCATGAGCAAGAGCCAAGCCCACCATGAGTCCCTGTCTTCTCAGCACTCACGGAGGACTGGGCACAGGCTGGAAATGAAGCGTGCAGAAGTGAGCAGGTCTTCTGAGAAGAGATCAGAGAGGGTGAATCATCCTAGTCCTGACTTCAGGCCGTGGCCCTCTAAGGTGAGAGCCTGGGCCTCTGCTGTTCTGCCCCTCCCCTTCCTATCCCCTGGTAGAGGGGGGCCCAGAGAAAGCTTCTCATTCTGTGACACTGCTGGCTTCTTTGTCCTGGGTTCCATGACGTGGCAGGAAATGCTGGCGGCACCTGGTTCCCCAGGGATGCCCCATGGAGTACCGTGGGCCCCTCAGGCCTCTTTCCGATCTGGCGTGGTCATTAGGGCCCAGGTGTCCTGGGTCAGCTTCTGGTGGAACAGAGCAGGGAGGGATGGACGTTCTGTCCCTCTGGAGCAGACACCAGGCCCAAGCTCTCCTAAACAGGGCCCCTGAGGCTCCCGGGCTCTGTTGCTAGGCCACGGCTGGAGGCAGGGCTCCTGGGTTCCCCTTCCGCCTCTACCTGGCCTGGTCTCCTCACAGCTCCTGGTCCCCCCTACCCCCCCCCTTGCCATGGGCTGAATTATTAATAAAAACGCTGAGGAAACTGTTTGTGCAGCTCGCAAGACAGAACAAACACACCTCTCTCCTTATCACCAGCCATGTGGCGAGAGGCTCAGGCTGAGCATTTGCTGGATCCAGGAGGGACCGGTGGAGACCAGCCGGAAGGCAGCTTTGAAGGGCAACAGCAGAGCCCGTTGATCTGCCAGGCCAGCAGCAAGGATGAGCTCTGCCACCCTGTCCCTGCAGCTCACCGTCCCCTTCCTCCTCTTCAGAGGGCAAGAGTCTGGGGAAGGTAGAAGCATAACATGAACACCTCCCCGGGAAGGGCACAATGAGAAAGTCCTAGAAGGCGGCTCTGGCTGCCTTGTCCCAGTGGAGACTGAGTCAGTGCTTGCTGGTCAATGTCCTCTTCTCCCCAGACCCAGGGACCATTGAATCTCAAAGGCTTACCCAAGGCCCCAGCTCGCTGGTCACACTTCTGCCGGCCCCTGCTTTGGATACCTGATACTGAAGAGATTCCCAGCCTCCGGGGGGGAAGAATCCTGGACTTAAACTATGGTCTTGCTTCTGCCACTATCCAGCTGTTTGGCTTTGGCCAGTGACTTGGCATCTCTGGGACTCAGTTTTCTCATCCATAAAATAGGGCTGTAATGACATCACGTGGGGACGGAGAATATAGTGGGGAGATAGCAAGGCAAGGACCTGGTGTCTTTCATGGCTCCCTTGCACCAAGGCACTGGACATATCCCAGGCACCAAGGTCTCTGCCCCAAGCTGACCTTCCAGAGCACTGGGTCCCTGTTCTGTATCCTCAGGTCATGATTCAGGACCACAAGCCCCTTCTGCAATCCCAACCCCACCCACATCTTTTCTCCCTGAAACCTCCTCTTTCTCTCTCTCTCTCTCCATTGTCACCCTGCCACCCAGCCCTCCCCCATGTGCTTGGCTCAGCCCCTCAAGCTCCAAAAGATGAAAGCTGGTGCCCCTTCTCCTCGCCAGCTGCTGCGTGGGATAGCCCCAGGCTCAGTCAGAATCTTGGCCTTAGGCCTCTGTTTTGAGATACCCCCTACTTCTCAGTCTTGGGCAACTCTGGGACCCTGACATAGGTTGAGAGCCATGGGAACCTGTGAGATTCCCTTATCAGGATGCACCATAGAAGAACCTTGGCTTGCCAGCTACAAGCTGAATGATCTGGGGTAAATCACTCAAACCTTCTGAGCCTCAGTTTACCGATCTGTAGTACAAGGATGTTGGTCTTTTCTTAAAAATTTTTATAAAGATTTTATTTATTTATTTGAAGGGGGATCACAAGTAGGCAGAGAGGCAGGCAGCGGCGGGGGGGAAGCAGACTCCCTACCGAGTAGAGAGCCAGATGTGGGGCTCAATCCCAGGACCCTGAGATCATGACCGGAGCTGAAGGCAGAGGCTTAACCCACTGAGCCACCCAGGTGCCCCAAGGATGTTGGTTTTTAATCTCGATTCCACCTTGGACTCCTTTGGGAGTCTCATGAACTTCATGGACCTCCCCCTCCCTAGAAAAAATGCCTATTCAACTACAGACACAACAATTTGTCCATAATTGGGTGGGAGAGGGTCCTGTAGGTTTCAGATTAAAATCCCTG